TAAAACTACGAATTGGAAAAAATTAAGCATTTCGATATATCAAATGGAATTCAAAGACACTACGAGATTTTCTTTCTATTCGAAAACGTTCGCCAATAGGAAATCAGTAATAAATTTTATCGATACTTCCTAGAGAAGCAAAATATGAAAGATTATTTATTAACGGTAATCTCATGAAGCGTTATTTCTTCACGCATAGACAAATTCTTAGCTCTTGGAATGACGTAAGTGCATGACGGAACAAGATACAAGAGAAGAAATAACGAACGGTCATTAGACCTGGCGTTCTTTAATTTCTAAGAGCCCGGCCGCGGAAAGACGGCGGAAAGAGCGCTCCCGTAGAATCAATATGGCGGCGGCCGCCAAATTCAAATCGACAAGCCCCGAACGGGGCGTATTTTCCGCTTTCTTTCCAACGAAGTATACAACTGGCATTACGTTACGTAGGGTTTGATTCCACGGGAGAGACGAGGAATCGTGGCGTCCCGTAGCCTCTAGACCGATAATCCGCATTAGCACCCGCGGAAAGAGAAACGACGCCACGCCTCAGCGCCGCGTCGCGGCGGCGCGTCGAAGTTCGTGCATCTCGGGTGTTGGGAACGATCAGACTAATGAAAATGAGACTGATAAAGCAGTATTCGAGAGAAAAAAAAAGCGATCACACACAAACACACCTACACATACACAGAATTGTAAAGCTAAAATTTACCTAGCCTTAATTAGGTTAACCTTAAAGGGGAGCGGCGGCTCCCGTGGCGAAATTCTCCCGATTGGCTATAAATAACCTTTGGAGTGGGGGTGCCTTCGGCGGCGATGGGTCCCCAAGGGACGCGGGGAATCCCGGAACTCCTCCGGCCGCCATCTTGTCTCTTCTAGCGAAGACGCCGCGGCCGACCCCCACCCCGGACTTAAGGGTAGTGAGAGTAATTTTATTAGGGTAACTTAGAGTAAAATCGGGGAAAAAGAAAAATGAAGAAAGGAATGCCAGTTGTAAGAGGAAATGCGAAGAGAGACACCGATAGCTAACTCGTCCCAGTGATTATTAGCAGTGGCGTAGGCACGCGGGGGGTAGGAAAAAAATGTAAACTACGTTAGAAGTATAATTGCGAAAGTAACGCGCAGGCTTAGCGGACCGGGGATGTTTTCACGTGGTGAAACTTAAAAAGCCATTGCCACGGTTAAGTGGCGTCTCCCGATACATAGCGAATACCTTTTTGCCCGTTTTCGAGTTAAATGTTAATTCGAGGGCGCGTCCCGAAAGGACGGGGCCGGAAACGCAAGATGGCGTAACGACCTACCCGTCTACCGTAATATATATTGTAAAACGATGATATGTGTATACGGAAATGACTAAAAGAAACAAAGTTAAGGGCGTTAGAGGGACGCACTTAGTAGGCCGCTAAGTTACAGGAAGATTATATAGTCCTCGAACACGTACACACCGAGATATACACCACGTAAGCGCGCGCGACCCATGCGACTAAATGAAATGTATGAATATAATGTTTGCAGTTAGGTGGGACCAAAAAGCGACTTTATATCTCTATGTGCATATCCAAGGAACGTGTAATTTAATTAATGAATTTATTCATTATGGATTATTAAGTGCTAGGCGGAAATCAATCGATAGCGAAACGAAAGCACGACGGCGAGACGTATCGCGATTTAATTAGCCCATTACGTTTGTCCATTGATGCATTATTCTATTATATATATAATTGATTATTATTATTAACTTTATTGTCTTTATTATTATTATATATTATTTTATTACGATCATTAATGCTGATGATAATATTATTATTTAAACGACCTTCTAAGACACGATTACTCTAGATACCGAGTAGAACAGTACGTATCGATAATTATTAATTATTTTTAATTATTATTATTATTAATTATTATGAGACATTTTGTTGTATTATTTTCAATAAAATCATTTGAAAACATTCATTATTGCCGGAATTTTTCATTTGGATTTTTGCGGTTACTTTTGTGCCATTATGGACTTTATTTACGATTATTCATTTACTTCGGTACGATTATGTGGTGAGTTTTTTTCATTTTTACTAAGGCGAGAATTTTTGTTGCTTGTTTTATGTTGGTGCCAGAGAAAGTGGAAAATATTTTGTTAAATCCGCCGGTCGTTTGTTCGGCTGTCGTGGCTATGCTTTAAATATTTATGTTATTTTGGATAAACATTTTGATATTATGAAATTATTAGCCACACTTTTTCACGGATATGAACTGAATGCGTATTGTAGGCTTTCACTATTTAATGCTGGTCAAAATTCAATGGGATTTCGAAAATAGTTACGCATCTCATTTTACCTGACATTAAAATTTACATTTTTTTTTCTTAATTTGAATGAGTAAATTTGTAAAATGTTATTATGAAATTTGAGATATTTAGCTGTTTTATGAATTGTGGGTGCAATGATATGAACACTCGAAATAAATGTTATCATATTTCTCGGTAAATTATAAACAATATTGAATATTCGGAGCGATTTTTCTAAGGGGATTATATAACAACGATCAAAACTCAGAATTGTCATTTTCAGATTTTATAGTTAATGCAAATGAGTCAAGTTAATACCAATACATATTATAATGCAATGAATCAAATTCATAACTTCATTGTTTAGGGTTTACGGAACAAAACTTTCTTATATAATTGCTATCAACCTCCTAAACTGCACATTCCAGACGAAAATTTATTGTCTTAACTTTATTCTAACAATTTGTATTAATGGACCCCAGCTGAATTTTCAAAGCATTAAAGCGGAAAATCTACAAGAAGCTTACTATAAACTCGAGAAACGTCACCGTCAACACGATATTTATCCGTAAATTGACATCTCTAGAAGAAATTCCCTTTATTTGCAATGGCCACAGCCGAACTAGAGCCATTTCCAAAAGAGCGCCGCGTGCGCGCTTTCGAATCTCCCGCGCGGCTGCGCGCGCAGCCGCGCGGGAGATTCAAAGCGAGTACATACCCGCGGCGCTCGAACCTCGGTGATTCGCGTTCACTAAAGATCGATCTTTCGACGGTAACCATTAATTTCACCGTGCACCGTATACGATTCTCTCCCGATTTCCCTCTCGACGCTCTTTCTTCCTGCTCGCTCATTGGCGAGAGAAACTCTCGCGGTTTTCGAGGATCGCGGCCGGGAAAGACTTTTCAAGATGGCGGCCATGAAAAACTAAACATTCGTTCATACACGCGGACACAGATTTCGATACACCAGCATTCCATACCCGACATACACACTTACACACGGACACAGCACACAAGTGTACTAGGTAAGTTCATACTGCGTATTGCCTTTTTGACTTCGGTGTGAAAATATATAAGTACGTCAGTCCAGGACGGGGGTCGCGAGAATTTTCCTGGCGAATTACAGGCCGCCTCTTAGTTTCGAGGCTCGTATAAACGGAAAGAAGAGAAAAAGGAGGAGAGGGAGAATTAAATAGTGGAAACCGTGGGCATGATGAGAGTCACGGAAAAGATTAATATATGATAGGAGGCTCTCGAATGAAATCCGCGACGCCCTGGCGACTGTATCTGTTTCATGTTTTTCAATATTTGTAATTTATCGATAAAATTATAAAGGTATCGATACATAACAGTCTAAAGTGTGCGCTACTCCACATAACATTATTATATATAAAGTATAAAAACATACATTATATATATATACATATATATATATATATATTATATATGAAAAAGTATAATATATATTATACATACATTGGGATTGGTGAGAATATACGGTTTTTTCGCTTTGGAGTGTTATTTTCTGAAAATATTGAACAAAATATGGAAAAAAAATTAATAAAACGGATTAATAAAAATGAAAAACACCCGCTCTATTGTTCTTGCTTTCGCTGACTCGTCTGTTAGCGAAGTTGTCATCCTGAGCCCACTTTCCTTTCAAATTTACATAAATACTTCCTTTCTAATTTACAATTCCGTTCAGGTCGCAATATAGTATATCACAGTTAGGTCTGGAAATTAAGGTGATGCCAAAGTAACGTCAAAGAGCTCTCCTTCATGAAACTTTTCTGGAAATTAAGGTGATGTCAAAGAAACGTCAAAGAGTTCTTCATGAAACTTTTCTGGAAATTAAGGTGATGCCAAAGTGACGTCAAAGAGTTCTTCATGAAACTTTTCTGGAAATTAAGGTAATGTCAAAGTGACGTCAGAGAGTTCTCCGTCATGAAACTTTTCTGTAAATTAAGGTGATGTCAAAGTGTTCTCCTTCATGAAACTTTTCTGTAAATTAAGGTGATGTCGAAGTGTTCTCCTTCATGAAACTATTCTGGAAATTAAGGTGATGTCAAAGAAACGTCAAAGAGTTCTTCTTGATGAAACTTTTCTGGAGATAAAGGTGATGCCAAAGTGACGTCAAAGAGTTCTTCATGAAACTTTTCTGGAAATTAAGGTGATGCCAAAGTGACGTCAAAGAGCTCTCCTTCATGAAACTTTTCTGGGAATTAAGGAGATGTCATGAACTGTTCAGCTTTAATAGATGGTCCTGCAATCAATTAGAATATCAAAAACAATTAATCCGAGGACTTTCTCGGATTTATTTATAATCATTTTTCTGAAACGACATATGGATAATGCAATTTCGTAGTTCTCAATATAGTATATCACTGCTATCGATATAAATATAAACGTCGATAAAATATATGGTATAATTCAGATAGTATATCGGTTCAGACAAATTTGATTTTACGATTAGAACGATTAAATTTTTCGTTGCCTTTCATATCACCTTAGAAATGAAGTGTTCTTTAGAAGTGCAAACTACAGAAAAGCGAAAAAAAAACAGAAACAATATTAAAAGTTCACTATTTTCGTGAAACGAAAGTAAATAACTAAGTATATGTACGTCTCAATTTCATCACGAACATAGTCAGAGGATTTCCAAATGTTTGAAACACAAAACAATCACTTCTACAAATTTCTGACATGTATGATAAATCTGTCGAGAATATTGTAAATAACTTTGATAACCAAATTAGGAGAATATTTTCAGGGATAATTTGAGTATTTTTAGTTCCCCGCTTGCTGGAAAAGAATCAAAGACTCTTGTCGAATATAATTTCGAAGAATGGTAAAGCCGAGAAAGAAGAAAGCAAGCAAAACTAGGTCTGAAACTGAAAATAGCTCCCAATCGGTGGAACCAACTGACGAGAATGTTGTAAGTCCTTTTTAACGTTAATAGATACTCTTTGGATTAAGGAAATAATTATTTTATTATTTGCAGATGACTGAACGGAAACCCCAAGAAGATATTGCAGAGCCGGTTTTGTTGCCAACACCTCCCACAATATATTTGGATTCACTTCCGGATTCATTAAAAAATCTTACGGGCATTAAAGTCAAGATCCAAAATGAAGAAACTCAGCATATGATAGAGTTCGTAAAGAGTTTTAATACACTCGCGACCGCTGACGTGAATTCACGTCTTTTGAACTTCTATTCCTGGTTGCCGCTGACGTGAATTCACGTCATTTTAAATTCTATTCCTGATTACCGCTGACGTGAATCACGTCCATGACGATACACGATACAAGTTTGCGGCAACCAGTTTCAGAATTTCATTATTTTCGCCGGTACTCACAAGGAAACATTCGCAAGTGTCCGCCCCCGATCTTATTAATTTTCATATATGTTGAAGAACACAAAAATCTAAGAGACACGTGTTTTTTTATATCTGCAATGGTCCACATTTAAGGGGTGAAACAACCCCCGAAAGTTTGGCGAAAATTCAATTTTTATAACAATTTTTGTAGAAGCAATGGAGGGATTTCGACGAAACTTGGTATAAACGTATTCCGTATAAGGACGGTGAAAACACAATATTGTCCAGCAATGCTACACCCCCCCAAGGGGGTGAACTACCCTTCAAGCGACATTTTTTTGTAATATCTATTAAACAAGCATTCCTACTTAAGTCCCACTTACGCGATGTGATTACTCACAAAAAATGAAGAAATACGTGTTTTTTGCTTTTTGCCAATAAACATTTACACATCGGTTGTAAACAATGAATGTAGGTGGTATACGGGTATATTTCGACTAGCTATATTGGATTATATCGTGACCAATTCATTGTACATAAATCTTGTGAACGTGCTTATTCCTCAAAATGTCCTTGGTTTTCATAGCATGCAATTATTTATAAATAAATTTGAAAAAAAGTTTAAGAGACTAAAATAGTTTCGCAACAGATCCGATGACGCAGTTATCACCCGTTTCCAACTAGTAATACAATCTCCTTGGTGAAACGGTAAATTTGGATTTTTACTGTTTTTACGGTAATAGAGTTGGCGATATTCGTAAATAATTGCATATTATGAAAACCAACGACATTTTGAGGAATTAGCACGTCCACAAGATTCATGTACAATGAATTGGTCACGATATAACCCAATAAAGCTACTCGGGATATTTCATCTTCGGATCTTTTCAGAATTAAATGTGTCAATTATTTATATGTATCGCATTTACACGTATGAATTTTATATTTATGAGTAATATAAAGAGTCGCACATTTTTATTTTTGATGATAAAACTGCAAAATTTTGATTTTTTCTTACGCATGATGTGTGAGATAAACAGAGCAATTATCGTTACTGATTAAATTTTGCCGTGTTATAAATCTGTTTAGGTTCCTAGGAAACTTGTTGGGAATTTTTGACTACAAGACCAACATGATAAGCTTTTGGTTTCTGGACACAATAGCTCTTCAAGTCCTGCAAACTAAAGAACAATTGACTGATCATTACCGGGGCATTCTAATCAGCTGGCTAGTAGGAGAGATGAATTATATCCGAGGTAACATTTCATTATATTTGATTCATATAGGCATATGTACATTAAAATAAAACTATTATGTACACGCAAAATTACTTAAAATTAAGGTGACATGAAAAGCGTTAAAGTGTCCAAAATGGCGTTACTGCCGAAAATGGTATAGATGCATTTTATTTCATCAACGTCGATTTAATTTCTCGGCGCTTTTCATATCATCTTAAGGATTTATTTATTTAAGATATGATACGGGTAATTAATAATTCCAGGCTAATGTAGCAATCTAATACATTATATTTTAGAGAAAAGATGCTCAAGGGAAGAGTTCTTTCATAACATGGAGGATGTGTTTTTGCAAATGGAACAACGATTGCTCGCTGGAAAACCATTGTTCTATTGGGAAGAAATCATGCCCGAAAATAAAATGGACGAAATGAACGAAACAATTCATCGGAGTTCATCCGTTTTAAAAAATCCAAAACGGCGTGTCAACTTGAAAGAGTATTGACTTTGGTTCACATTTTATTTGAACCACATTATACATGTCATTTGAGACTGCATACTCTTACAAGGAAGGTATCCCAGGTCGATCTCTCCGATTTGATTTCTTTTATAATATGTTATAGTAGACTAAAAACTAAGCGACACGTATTTTTTTTTATCTGCCATTAAACACTTTAAGGGCGTGAAACCACCATCCAAAGTAAGGCCTGTAAGGGGTGGCTCGTCCCTTAATTTTTTTTTTATTGAGAAAATTATATTTTTCATTTCTCGTTATGAGAAAGCGTTTCCAGGTGGATTGGTTAAAAATAATGTTATAGTAGACTAAAAACTAAGCGACTCGTATTTTTTTTCATCTGCCATTAAACACTTTAAGGGGGTGAAACCACCATCCAAAGTAAGGCCTGTAAGGGGTGGCTCGCCCCTTAATTTTTTTTTTATTGGGAAAATTATATTTTTCATTTCTCGTTATGAGAAAGCGTTTTCAGGTGGATTAGTTAAAAAATATTATGTTCTTGTAGGTGAAACTGCCAAATCGCACCTTGACATGCCTTACTTTGGATGTTGGCTTCACCCCCTTAAAGTGTTTAATGGCAGATAAAAAAAAAATACGTGTCGCTTAGTTTTTAGTCTACTATAACATATTATAAAAGAAATCAAATCGGAGAGATCGACCTGGGATACCTTCCTTGTGAGAGGGTATAAAAATGGCATCCAAAGAGTCAAGATACCTGTGTGTCGCCACTTTCATATCGCCTTAAGACAATACTTATCAACAATTGTTAAATGGTAGTGAGAACAACAAACATGGAGAGGACAGCATTTTTAAACTGACGAGCAATTCGAGGCGAGAAAATATGTCAAAGGGAGAAGGACTTGAAGATATTATTCAGCTGTCGAAGGAAGAAATTACAATTGATGTACATAATGTTTTGGACACATTGATATCGGCGACATACGACATGTTAGTATTTTGCATACAAAAGTACCTAATACATTACCGATCGGCGAATTTCGAGATTAATGGCGATTAAGGTGATATAAAAGAATCCTCATTCTATATATGAAAATCTGAAAATATTGATATAACTTTTCTCCAAACTGAGTGCTAGTATTTTGCATACAAAAGTACTTATCACTTTACCGATCGGCGAATTTGAAGATTAAAAATTATAAAATGACCCTTATCACTCCAAGAATATTAGAAGAGTATTAGAAGTACTACTAATGATAAAAGACAAGGGTTTTAAAAATTATAAAATGACCCTTATCGCTCCAAGGATATTAGAAGAGTATTAGAAGTTGGCAGCATTTCTGCCGATTAGAATGATAAGGGTTAAGAAGTATTTTATAATGAAAAAACTACATGCCTATTTACTATGTTGTATCAATAAAGGATGTAATTGTAAATACTAATTGTTCCGTATGTTTATAGGTATGGAAACGAATTTCGCTATGACCTGATCCAAACTGTTATTGTCGAACCAGTGGAAGTACATACATACAGAATTCCTTACACCTTTAGAAAACCGAGACCTGTAAAGATAACTGAAATTGGAGAAACATTACAATTATCAATACATCAGACGTTATCGCAACTTCATACAGAATCACAGGAAAATAAAGTGAAAAAACCGAAAACTAATAAAGGTAAAACAGGTAAGGGAAAAAATGATAATTTTAATATTCATTATCTTATTACCAAATTCAGACACTGTATTCCCATCGTAACATTATACAACAATTTATCAATTTACAGCAAGCAAAAAACAAGTTAAAAAGAACTCCATTATGGAAATCGTACCTCCACCGCCATCATTAACAGACGAAGAACTTTTGCGGAAGAAACGAGAATATATTTTGCCTTTGATGGACGCTAAAGAGGCAAGCGACGTATTAAAAATGTTTGACGATGTTTAAATATTGCAAAAACGTATGAGTATAATAAACGGAAAAATATTTTTATATATCAGGACAATTCGTCGACACTTATTTCGTTGGGTCTACTTCTCTAGAATGATTACATCTTCGACAATTTACATAATTCTTTATAGGAATAGTTCCGTCTGTTTTGATAAATATTCTTATAAGTGCAGCTTTGAAGACTAATACTTTGCCATTTATGAAACTCTTAAGAACTTATTTGGTTATCACCAACGTTCCCCATTCCTGGCACTTGATATCCTTCACAAACTTCCCATGCAAATTAAGATCGATTCTTGCGAAGGACTTCAACTCTTTGGTAATATTTCGAGGTACACCCAATTGTCCATATTTGTTCGAGCCGCATCCCCAAAGTGTATGGTCTTCTAGAAAAGGATAATCAGAATTCACTGCTATGAAGATATGACTAATGCCCGGCTCTACCAACTTCGTGAAAAAGATAATTCCCAGTTACAATTAATTGCACGTTCCACAACATTTTAACAGCGGGTTAATTTTCATTCATTGTTTCAACACGTCGAGGCACTTGATCGACGTCGGTAAGAAAAATTCTTCTAAATACCTACGTTGCCGACGTTCGATTTTATATTCACAGCTGTGTCGAATTATATTGGGTATTGTTATAAATGGCATGCTCCACCTCGCGTTTTCGTACAATAATTATAGAAATTTAATTTACAAGCTCGGTTTATATTCAAACCGTTGTCCTTTTTGTGTAAGACAGAAAATAATATCTCAAGATGCTTATAAATGAACGTAAAAACGCTTACTTCGTACTTCCTTGTAGGGAAGCAACATAAGATTCACCGCGGTATAAAAAATAAGTATCATCACGTACCCGACATGCAAATCGTGAAAGTGTTTCCACACTCGACTTTCTTAACATGAATCGGCAAACTTTCGCCTGCCTCATTTTTCAAATCTACAAATGCCGGTTCAGCGAAAATCTTTGTATCTTTGTCGGGGATTCCAAGTTGTCCATTAGTGTTCCAGCCCCACGTGTACACGTCACCCTTAAAATGTAATATTAATTAATCCTGATACATATCATAATCGAAAATACAATCTGAAAGTTTATCATTAATAACCATCTTTCTTTCCTCTTTTCTTCATAATTTCAGTGACTTAAACCTTTTAGTGCCTGCGTATGAAAATTTTAAATAAACAGAAAAAGGTAAGTCGAGTAGGAAGTAAAAAATGAAAATCATAGATGTCACCAAGGTACTACAGGGTTCTGAAGAAATAATACAGATGTCATTGGTTAATGAGTAACGCGCAAGCGCAAAATTAGTTCTTCACTTCCGTCTACTAGGTCAGATGGCACAGCGAACACCATTTAATTTCTCCGATTAGAGTGTCACCCCTAGCGTTCGAAAATTCTCGGTAACATTAAATTGGAGAAGGTAACTGTGAAACATACCGTAAGTTACCGGGAACATTGAGAATTTAAGAGAACTATAATTTTGTTATTTATACTTTAGGTTTCTTCGTTTAAATAACTTTTTTTTTCAATCAACTTCAAAGTTCAAGCTATAGAGTAATAATTACTATTAGAAAATATTGATTATAGGGTCATATTTACCTCCAGCTAAAAATATTCACGTATCTACAACTTCACGGAAAATTCCATGCGATTTGTTTCAAATGAACTAATATTTCATTCTGCGACGAAGCGAATGGAAGGTTTTGATTGGCTACGGAGAACGTGCAACGGAAATTCCCCTCTACGATGTTTCTCTATAGCTAATCGAAACCTCTCGTTTGCTCTGTTGAAAAATTCAAATTCTCATAATTTCTCGATAAAAAAGACTTTGGAGAAATTACCGATGAGTTACCGGGAATTTCTCTTCGTTTCTGACGTAACTTACTGGATTTAGAACTCTAGTCACCCCCCTGGGTTACCTTCTCCAATGTTATGTTATCGAGAATTTTCGAACCTAGTCATCCATAAGAACAGAAATTACCTGATCGGTGACGACAGCGCTGTGCCAACCAGCGGCAGCAATCTGAACGACCCTGAGTCCGGCCAAAGCCTCGACAAGCCTGGGATTATCGCAGTCTTCAAGGTCACCATGTCCTAATTGACCACGACTGCGGAAAATTTAACAGCGGCGACAATTAATTAGGCTTTGTGTCAAACTAAATACCTCAGCCTGTGAAAGATAAGTCTTCTCGGAGCTACACTACGTATGACAAATTATTGACGGGGGTTGCGCAACTAACGTTCCCATTCCCATGGAGTAGACGTTCCCGTTGTCGGCTAGAATGATGGTATGATCAAAGCCACAAGCGACATCCACGAACTTCACCCTTTTCGGCATATCCACCAATGTTGGTATATTAAAGACGCGCCCTAAACAACAAAAAATATGTACATTATTATTCGACAAGTCCACATTCGCTGTCGATAACTTACCTACGGTGGAAAACAAAGCGAACGATTTTGTGCAAAAAATATCTCAAGTGATAAAAATCCGAATTATAATATGGTGTCTTTTAAACCGTTTTCACTTTTTACTGGTAAATGGCAAATGTGAGGGTTCATAAGAAATGTAAAATTCGTGTAATCAATTTTTATAACGGTATAAAGGGCGTGCCTCTTTTTCAAACAATGGCGTGAAACATCTCCCCGCTCAGTAGCCGAAACATATCCCCGCTCTTGTTTACTTTTAAAAAAACATGTTTTAATATATTCTTTAAGAAATTCTGTAAATAATCATTTAACAAGAACTACGTTAACTGGGTCAGGGACACTTCACAATAATATTTAAATAATTTCCATTAATTGTTTTTGTTTATGAACGNCTTAGGGGCACCACAATAATATTTAAATAATTTTCATTAATTGTTTCCTTTACAAACATTCATTTTCTTTAGCAAATCCATTCTGCCCCTTGGGCGATTTAAATTCCGCGCTGCTCCCACCGCTAGTACACTGCGCGGCCGGAGAGGGCAGTAGGTCCGCGAGGAAACCATCGATAAATGCCGGTGCACACTCGGTGCAGATGAACTTGCAAAACGAACAGCGATGCGTCACTTACGTCAAAACGAACGCCAAAGTGTACACTTTTCGTAAAAGTGTAAAAAGTGCAGGCAAACGAACAAACCTTATAATTTTGGCCCGACTGTACTATAATTCACAGGCTTGGAGTTGACAACACTGCACCAAACCCTAACCGGAGAAGTGTACGCCATCTTAGTCTAACCTCAATCGCAAAACGTGTAACTACGTAAACCATGGACGTAAAAATATTCTTACGTCCATGACGTAAACCGCACGAGTCGAAGAAAAATAAAGACTTGAAAAGAAACTAGTAATCACCAAAAGGTATTAAAATCGCGGTACTGGGCTCAAATATCTGGACCGAAATCCATCACACAAACGAAGAACAATTGGAGTGTCCGTCCCATGATCTATGCGCGAATCCGTTTCTACACCTTAACATTATAGAACTGTAGTTTATTTAACTTTTCACCGACCTACTTGACATTTCTTATATCACTTCGGAGAAAACAAATTTCGTAATATATCTTACGATTGTGAATAAATTACATTGTGGTTACACTGATATAAATATATACAAGTTGATTTAATATCCTTAAGTAATTACAATATTTCTGTTTGGAATCTTAAATAAAAGTATACATCTGTAGTAATTTTTATTTTATAAAAATAAAAAGGCAAATAACAGGACATCGATGTAGCTATAATAACTGATTGTTAATGGAAAATATTTACACTCGTTACAGTAGAATATTTACATTCAAATGATTAGCAGTAAAAAATGTAGAAGGGAATTCATTGAATAATTAATTAACATAACTTACAACTCAAGATAATTAAGTATTCAATTTGTTTTTTGAATTTTTTTGGTCATTTGATGCTCAGTATTTACATTCGGTGTGCTCATAAATGTACGTTTTCTCAAATGTTGTATCTTATTGTTATGCACTTTTGCATTTAAATAATTTATGCGGACAACTGTTCTTAATTTACAAAATAAATTAATTACATTTATCGACAAATTATCCCGCTTTTTAATTCTTAATGCCAATTTCGTTACGATTGAAGGCCCTCTGCGCAGCTTGTCATTACCGTGAAACATAATAAAATATCGATTCCACCTTTTAACTGTTTTTAAAAAATCTAATGACGGTTTAATAAGACCTCCAAAGGATATCTGCTGTTCTCGTGTTGGTAAACTATAGGAATGATCGAACGTGATCTTGTACGTGTAATCGCATAATTCAGGATGAATGCTTTCAAATTTTGTTGCAATGAAACCAGCTATATACTTGATCGCATCATCTGTTACTTCTGGCATATTTGCATCAGACTCGAGAAATCTGGATAATAGAGAGGAACTTCCACTGCTGTTTCCTTGATTTCCACTACTTTCGAACTCTTCATTTGACGGTAACTGAACCAAAACTGTCGCTTCTTTTAAAACTCGAGCTACCATATACTCCTCAGAAACCGTTTCTTGTACGTTGACCTTACAGAAATACAAGCGATCAGTAACGAAATGTCAAAACAAAATAATCTTTAAATACATAGTGTCATTCCATAATACCTGTGCATCTAAAATGTTCGGATTCTTTTCAAGTATAATCATTCTAATTCTCTTCATGGCTTCTAATGGCGATGGGTGCTCGTTGGAATCTCTGCACCGTATTTGAATGAAAAAATTCTCCAGACACTCCTGATTAAGCTTACAAGTACATAGATAATGTATTTCTTTAAATTCATCATTCATATCACGAAGTAATAATTTCAGAGATTCTATCGACATGATTATCCCTTTTTGAAATATCTGCAGAGTAGTCTTTCCTTCTGGTCTCATACACAGTATTAAATTCTTTACTTTATCTAAATGTTGCGCCTGTTGCTCGAGATAAATTCCGAAAGGAGCTTTCATAGGGTAAATAATAGACGAATCTTTTACATAACTATTAAAAATGTCAAACCAGATATTAATGTCATCTATGAATTTTCCAAGATCTTCTGCAATTTTTTTATCAGGCCCAGGTTTGTATTGTAATAGTGTCTGAGCTGTACTGTGCGAAAATAATTCTGCTGCGAGTCTTACGCTCTGTCGTTGGCTTTTTTCAACAATAATATGCTTTTCCGAAATTTTAAAAGATGAATTCAGCTCAGCGTTAGTCAATTCAATTAAAAACTCGAGGGGGCTTTTGATTATTTTTGTATTATCACCAAGGATAAAACCTGTATCTAATAGCCAATTACGGAGAAGTTTTAATAAATTTGGAGCATCTACAAAAACGTAAATCTTCTTTTGAGTCTGTGGATGATTAAAGTGGGTCTTATTCATGTCCACAGATAATTGCATCCACAGATCGACGTTATTACTTTCACAATTACTGACAATCGCAACACAATTGTATTTGACATTATGTAATTCGGTTATTATATCTATCAAGATATCCTTGGTAATTTTTTTATCAAAATCTATATACACAGGTTGTTTCCAAGTTGAGAATAGACTTCTAGCCATACAAACTTGCATTAGATCGTAACGACCTGAAATTTGATCTTTGGCATCGTCGTATTCCAAAACAGACTTCACATTAATTTCATCAAACGAAAGGACAACAGTTCTTTCTCTTTTAGTCATATTCTCTCCAGCTATTTTTAAAAAAGTCAGTACGTCTTTTAAAATACCCTGCTTTATCTGAATTCTTGACGCCCACCTTCTTAAAGTAGACAAAGCAGGCAGAGGAAAATTAAGCTTACTTCTCAAGAATAGATAGCACCTTTTACTCAAGTACCTAATGGTAAAAGCCATTGCGATTTCGTCTGTATTCCAATTTACGCATTTTCTTCTGCCTAAGAGAATCGCTATTTGATTCTTAGTTAAAAATTTCTTTAAAATATTCGAACCAACAATTTTTGGTAAAGCTCTTTCCGGGGTGTTCATTTTATAGTGTCGCAGTTGCTTCTGTTGTAGATACAATTTATACTTCATTGAATCCATCAGAGTTTGTAGTTTTTTGTGACTTTCCAGTAGCTTATCGTGTTTTATGCTTATATCATCATCAGATTGTTCGCATTGTTCTTCGATAACATTCACCGACTCATTTATATTTAAAGTCGAAGTACTCGCTGTAGACTGTTCAGCAATTAAATTGTTTATTTCTTCTTTTCTTTGCCTGATCTCATCCATCTTCTTTCTTTGCGCGTATCTTTCCTTCCGTTCCGAGCACGTTGCATTTTTTGCCATATTTGGAAGATTTAGACTAGGGACGGCATCTCTCTTAAGAAGTTTACGTATAGGTAAACCTAACAATAATTAATATTATCCCACTATCATTATAATTAAACTTAGTATGAACACTGAAACGTATTATGATGAATACCCAATATTTCGTTCCTCATATCACGTTCGTAGTCATTATCAGTAAAATGAACCGAGCAAATTTGACTAGTCTGAGAATTCCAACTGTCGGCCCGTTTGCAACGTCTGATCCATTCTTTCCGAGCAGTATTCGACACGGAGTCTTTTCCTTTAGGGAAGTTATGATAAACAATCCCTGGATTACTCGCTTTTGTAGAAACGCGGCTGTTATTGCAACCAAAAACTGCACAACGGCGTCCTGGCATTTCTGTTATAAAAATTCTAAATTATAATAAAATAATAGTACTATCTCTTGAAACTTACCCGTGTTTGTGTATTGGGAACCGACCGTTGTTAAATAAAAATAATCAACGACCCACTTCCCCTGTGCTCCATAGACATAAATCCTTTATCGGACTAAACAAGTGAATTGTAAGGAATAGTTATAAAATCTCTTCTGAGGGAGTCTTCGAGTCTAGAGGTCTAGAAAAATCAATTCTTTGTTTGGCATCTTCTGATAGTTTGTCTCCATAAATTTACCTTCAATGGGATTTTCTCCAATTCGAAAAGATAACGCAGTTGTAAAGACACGCGCAATAACTAAATCACTTCGCTTCCCTTCATTTAATGGATTTCTGCTCCAGTTATAAACCCAGTTCCAGCAATAACTAAATCACAACTGCATTATGATACGTTTATACATCATCATAATGCTGAAAGCATGTTTAATCCCAGAGAGGACTTTTTTTTTTTACGAGAAGTTAACTTTCCGGTCTTTGTCCGGCTAATCAGTTCTAAAGAAAAGCGCATGCTTTTAAATGTATTTGGTGCGAAACTCTACCGAGTTTCCTGACACCTATACAGGGGGTCTATTACGTAAAGCAAATTGAGCGAAAATGTGAAAAATGAGGAGCTCACGGTATTACGAAACGTTTATGGCGGTGAAAATACGAGACCATTCATATGGATTGGCTCAACATAAATTTTTAAGAGAAATGGTGAAGCATATAATGAATGATAGAAAAATAAGCGCCGTAAACGCCATCTTCCACAGATTGTGACACCGAAATTCAAAATGGAAAACCTCCTGGGTGTTTTGATTTTTGGCAACAATCGTATTCAGGGACGTGATAATAACCTTATTAGAAGAAGAAAGGAATTACGCGATGCCTCAGACTCATTTTCGTTAGAAAAGAGAGAATTTACTAAGATGTACAGGTTAGTTTTTGTTATTGCCAGGTTATATTACATTATCAAACATTGAAAACTGTTAAATAATTTATGCTTACATGACACAATAAGAAAATTATATTGTTGAACTTCTAATTATAGTACATGTAAATATGAATGTAATACATATTTAAAAAATATAGATAGACTCGAGTCCTCTTCTTTACTTTTAACGACTTTAATCTTCCCGCCTTTCCCTGCCTATAACCCCCTAACTCTAAACAATTTTCGATTTACAAGGTATGTACCTTTATTTGGCAATATTACTAGACCGAAAGAGCTAGTGACTTCGTTCTCTCATATAGCGAATACGTAACTCGGCGAATAAAGCCAATAAATAATAAAGTCGTGTCTACCAGAGATGAGTTGGGAGATTGCTCACG